ACATATGATAAGTAATATATAACACGTCTTTGGTAAAAGTGTCAATCATAAAAAGTTTAACACAAAAGTAGAACTACATGTAATAGGACATAATTATCACCAACAATATCCGCACTGTGGGTGGTTACCTGACTATTCACTTCGCGCTACATATTCGAAGTTAATAATCAATATGCAGTTTTTGATAGCTTTATATAAACTTAAAAATAGGAAAACTGTTTTATGTTTAAGTAGAATTAATAAAAAATATTGCACCAGAATCTAAATTGAATAAGGTAAAATTCTCAAATCATTAATAATTCATGAGCAATTCAGCCAATGATAATCACCTATTTGATCACAAGATGCCATTTGGGTAACCCGGTGAAACTTGATGAAAGTCACTTGTGTTTTCATCAAATATCTTAATTACGCATGCAAAATTACTTGAATAGAATTCCTAATTGCATTATGCTTGGTTAAGAATTTTATTCAAATCAGCAAACGAAAACATTCTGTTACGTCTCGATTTACTTGAGAAGCCATATCGTCTCGTGTCTCACCGGGATATCCAAACACTCAAAAATTGTTTTCTCGTGTTTGGATATCCCGGTGAAACACTCGCTCTCGTTGTTCATATATTACGTGAATAATCCGACTATTGTTTTAAGTCATTCCTTTATAATATTTGGGGCCGCAGAAAACAGTAGCCTTATAGCATTAAGAAATTTCCCTCTCCATGGCCGGACTGTTTACAGAAATACAGTGAGGTGCCCTAATTTGGTGTTCCAGAAAAAGTTACGCAGAAACAAATTGATAGACAGTTGAATGCATCAAACACATGCAAACTATAGGTAATTTATTCACTCATTTGAATGGCACAAGAACTTAATACAAGTCAGGGGCGGCGGGGAGTCAGGGGAGTCATGTTCACAGAATGTAAAAACAATCGCTTTCAAAGGAAATAATGATGCAGAACATGAATATATGAATATCAGCCCCCCCCCCCCAATTATCAACTTTCCGCCGCCCCTGATACAAGTTTAGAAATTAGAACTGTCAGAAGACAAAACATAATGTGCCTTTTGTTTGTGTGCTTGCCACATATTAGTTTTTGCCACACAATTGCATTCTTTGGCACTGTTCTGCGATGACTGATCTTAGCCAACGAGAATTAGGAAATTGTTTCATGTATATATTAATTAAAGTGCGACTAACCCCAAATATAATTTTTGGTATGTGTAATATTTGGGTCATTCTGAGAAGAAATGTAATGTATCTTTATAGTAAAAAATCTCATCTTAATCAACTTTTTCACTGTCAAAGTTCCAGATATGATGTCATTAGGTGAATTTTTGGTACAAAAAACAAAGGAAAACTAATTTGCAATTCACCTAATGACATCATACTGTATCTGGAAACTTGACAGTGAAAAAGTTGAACAAGGTGGGATTTTTTATTTTAAAGATATATTACATTTCTTCTTCAAATGATCCAAATATTACACATACCAAAAATCATATTAGTGGTTAATCACACTTTAAGGAAATAAACCTTTCTTGTTGCTTAAATTATTCAGTAAAACATGTGCATTATTGCATCTGACACTTGTACAGTTGTACATATAAGTAGCACAGTTACTCCTAGTCAAATTCAATATGGCAGATTTACTAGGGAAACTAGTATAGTGGCTAATTACCTTGTATAAGTAATTACACAAAAGTAGCCCCTGGTTATTTAACCACCTAGCATGATCTGGTTAAGTACGAAACCCAGGTCTATTAATCGGACTATAGTAAGATAAAGGTTAAAATAACTAGGAAGATTCAGCAGAGCTAAATATTAAGTTAACTCAAATAGCATTATTTCTAGCTTAACCAGATCAGTGTCTTCTTTCAAAACTGAGGAGAAACTGGGAGGGGGGGGGACGTTTTAATATTTTCACCTGGACATAAAATGGCTTTCAGATTACCATAAAACATGTCTAAAATGCATGAAATAGCATTTCCCAGACTCTACAAATAGAAAAATCTAAGCAATTACACCATGTCCCTCCACTTGTTTGGGGGGCTGGCTATGCCCCTGTATGCAATAAACTGTGGCCTTACATTAGAAGTTCTTAACAATGTTTTGTTAAAGGTGATGTAAAGTCTGTTCTGCGCAAGCCAACATTCCAATGGTCGGGATCCAACCATTGGAATGTTATTAATATTTCGCACCTTTTGAACTTTCTTGAATTGAATTTCTAGTCTGTATTCATTTACAAGTATAGTGAACCAGAAGAGTCTTAAAAATTCAGTATCATCAATTCTTTAAACATTGAAATTTTTAAAAAATACAGACAGTGAGACAGGACATCAAGCCAAGGGCGTAAGAACCGGGGGGGGCAGGGGGGCCAAGCCCCCACCCCCCCCCCAAGTTTTCAGAAAACACAAAAAGTGCCCTTTCTCCAGGGGCAAAGTGCACCTAGTCTTCATGAAAAATGGTGAACAGATTGCATTTTATGATTGCAATTATTTTTCCATCAGAAAACACAAAAAATGCCCACTCTCCGGTGGCAAAGTGCCCTTTGCCTTTGTGAAAAATGTTGTTCAGATTGCATTTTGTATGATTGCAGTCCCACCCCACCCCCTTCGCCAACATTTCCGGAAAAATTTCTCAGGTGCCCTTTTCATTCCAAAAGTGCCCCTCGAAACCCTAGCCCCCCAATCTTTTGATGCTTCCTACGCCCCTGCACCAAGCCCAGATCAAGCCCTTTGGAGTCAGGGTTGTACGATGGCCGGATATGCTGCCATGGCCAAACTCTCCCCCCCCCCCCAAACTTTGGAAAACCATGGCAATTCAGGCAAATGCTAGGAAAAATCAAGAAAATCCGGGCAGATTTATCAGAAAATATGTTAAATTCTGCACAATCCTTTCATTACAAACTTTCAACTATAAAACGACGGATCTGGATTCTATAATTAATAAAAGGCAACTTAGGAATTTTGTATACTAAAGTTTAATGCGAGTTTTACCACTCAACGTCAGATATAAATTTAGGAAAGCTTAAAAAATTCACTATCCAGTGGATACAAGCTTTCCTTGTACTGGCCTAGCTGGGAAAGATAAAAATATATATTCAAGAAAAACTATAATAAATACCTGCCGAAGATAGTTTTGATTTGTTTCATTTGGAGTTGTCACAGACTTTTTCCGACAAGAATTTCATCAATTCCTCTTTGTTTGAACACAGTTAATGGTTGAAGAAGGCAAGAAGCGAATCTACGTGGTCGTTTGCCATTTTGTTTTGACTTCTAAAATTTCGCGCGCTTTTTTACAAACCGCCGACAGCGCTGGGGGCTTGGGCTCTACAGACTTTAACAATAATTTGTAATTATTATTATAAATAATTTATAATTATTATTATAAAGACTATTAGCAAGATTATTGCAAAATTATAAGATTATTGCTCAAAAATAATTCGAAAAATTTCTATTGGAGATTGGACTGAGCCTCTGGGACTGCATGAGCGTACATACACTTCCCGCGCGCGCAACACTCGCGCGGGCAAAGCGGCCGTAATGGCCAACTTATAGCAAACGCTAACGTTCATGGCACAGTCGACGTAATTTCGGCTAAATAAGTTAGTTATAAGCCATAATTGCGCCTTTATACTCAAAAGTAACGCAATTCTTGAACGCAGCATTCTGAGCTTCCCTTTGGGAAAAATCATAAAATATACGTCGTTCATTAGAAGCCATGTCGGTTACCGCTTAGTTGGCACGTTTGATATCAAACGAAAGCTCAGCACGTCGTTTTGTTGTATATTTATTCATTTATCTGCGTGTTGAATAAATTTTCTACAATATGCGCGTAAATTTATGTGACTATACGGAGTCGGTAGACGTATGGTAGCTATTAAGATGACATTTAATACCTCCGATTTTGGCACTAGGATGGCGGAATTTTGGCCTCTGCTGACCCGGCGTGCACTAAAACTGAACACAATAGGTACATTCAATTATTACGTCTCAAGGTCAAAGAGCTGAAGGAAGAAGATAAGACAGAACTTGCTTGGAGACGAAATTTTCAAAATGATGTCTGCGAAGATTCTGCTGAAAATCCTGATTTTTTCAACCTGGCTGAGCTTGTCTTTTGGTTTATCGCAAAGCGACAAGGTATATGATGATAGGTGATACATTTGGTAAAAATTCTTATATTTTTCAAAATTTAACACCAGTAGGTTCTCTCTCACTGCGCATGTATATTATTACAATTGTGAATTGTATGCAAGGCACGCGATTTCTATAGCAAATATATCTTATTTCTTAATATGTGATCGCATTTTCCTTTGCTACTTTGGTTATAAATGATTTTATATATGGTTTATTTATATCGTCAACTGAAAGCGAGAACTTCCTGTGAGTCGATCAACTTCCAAACATACGACTATTCTTCACATGTGTGTTAATCATGAAAGCATAGCTTATATAACAGATAAAACAACTTTGTCAATGATTTATATACAGGGTGTTCCAAAACTTGAACTGAGGAGCGTCTCTGAAAGTAAGAGAGCATTTTTATGTCAAGCTATTTAAGTGGTTCTTATATAGGTATTTAGTGAGAAATCTGCTGCCATCGTGCTAAAAATATCTGCAAAATATCTCGACCTATTTAAAAGTGAAATTTAAGAACTCCTGAATGTAAAATTTCCTGACGTTTAATTAAACGTTTCCTATAAAACACTGTAGGATTTTTGGTTTTCTCTAGTTATACCGATTACAGCATTTGGCATTTGTTAGTCTGTGATTTAGTTTCCATGAATTTCGTAGTGTTTGTACTGTATGGATCCACGACTACAAAGTTACTATTCAGTTAGAGGGGGGGGGCAAGGGTATTTTCGTGACTCGTGATTAGCTATTATTCGTGTTTTGTGATTCGTGATTTAAAGAAATACCATTCCGTGAATCGTGATTAATATGCGCGCCGTGAATCGTGAAGAGCTAAAAGGCTAGCTAGGTTCTTGAAGTTACCAATATTTTACCCTAACTTGTGAATGTTTACGTTTAAAACTCGGCCCAAATTTAATATTATGGGGGGGGGGGAATAAATAAATTTGCTTCCCGCGGTTGTCTTTCTTGAAGTTTCTTCGTTTCTTGAGGTTGCTTCGTGTCTCGTAATAGTTTGTAATGCCTCGCAATGATTTTCATAGTCGTTTAAACGGCTCTAATGTTAAAGTCAGCGAGTTCTGCTGTCTAGAAAATCCGCGCAAAATGGTTTCAGACTTTGTTACGCTTCTGTGTTTCTAAAAATCGTGAAAATGAAATTTTATTTTTCGTGACTCGTGAAATCGAAAAATAATCTTCGTGATTTCGTGACGAGACCCCCCCCCCCCCC